TAAAAAGTTCCTGCTCTTCATGAGTGTTCTTTTATAGTGCAACATGCATTAATAAGAAGTTCTTTTCCGCATCATCTAATAGCATAGGAAATTTCTCGGTTATCAACAGACGCTGAATTTCACCCATTTTCGCCTCTAATTTTTCCCAGTATACTGATCTGAACGGAAGTAAATTCTCTTAACCATCATTTTGCGCCTCACGTCAACCCAATGAACTGAATAATAAACCTCAAATGGGTGTTAAGTCCCCCAACCTCCAACCTTTCATCAGATAGGTAAATTACTGTATCTGCCAAATAAATATGTATTTCTGGTGTCAATTACCTTTTCCTGCCAACGATAACTTCACTTAGTTACTCTGGCTATCTATATAGACCTTCTCTCTTAGCCGCAGCGGTCCCCACCTCCCCTTAAAACATGAAAAATATTTTAATTTGCCTTATCTTTTTATCTGTCTAGACCCATGGACGCTCTCTTTCGTCGTCATAAGCAGCAGATAGTCGCGTAAAAGAATAATGCAGGGAATGAGTAGTTGTAGACTGCTGACAAATTATCGACGAAAGTAAGTCCGCTCGACGTCACTTTCTTTCGTCAGATTGAACCGGAGTGCGCATATTACCGCCTGCGGTCTTCCTAAAACCCGGTTAGGGGGACCGTGTTGCATACTTGATAAGCAGAATTTATCATGACAGAAATACGATATTTTGTGTATGGATACATCACGGTCGTAATATTCTCATGATTAGAAAGTTTTTAAGATCCAAAGATGCCCTTGCTACAAGTAGATATTTCGAAGAATGTTTACGTTAGTGCCAAATTAGTACAAGAAGAGATACTTTTGTACAGGTTTCCCATAAAATATATTTCAGAAGCATCCACACTATTCAGGTGACCTTTTTTAAAGAGTGGATTTTCTGCAGCCGGTTGGAAAATTTCTCGTTCAAATGCCAGCATTTTGGAGTAATTGGAATGTTTTGGGAGTACGCTATATAGCAGTTAATCTTGCAATTAAAATCAAGCAAATTATTTTCGAATAGAAAACTAATTGCGAAATTTCGGTTTACATTTCACAAGTTAGCACAAATACTTTACCTCGTTGTTGATACTGCCCCAGGGAAAAAACGCACAAGGTGTGAGATCAGGGGACCGCGGACCTTATTTAAGAAGCCTGATCCACCGAGCAGGAGACTTTCTGTTCAAGACATCTTTCACTAACTTGTGAAGGTATAAGGGGGTTCCATCTTCATTAAAATAAATACATAGTTACAGTCATTTTTAACGTGGATTTGTTGAATAGCGAGCTCCTGCGCCATTTCCAGGTAGTCTTTCTCTGGAGCAGTGGTTCTAGAAATTTACCAGTCTCGAAAGCATCAACTGAATCGACCTGTTTTTAATGACAATTTCCTGTACAACTCTCCGCAGTTTCGAGTTTTTTTTAAGCGCTTACTACAGGAGTCCGCTGTTTTCATCAATGGCGGTAGAAGAAGGCTTTTCGTTCAGTGTTATTTTAAAAGAAAAAGACAAATCTGCCACAGAGAGCAAAAATTGCGCTGCGTATTGTA